GGGCATTTGAATAGCTTCTGATATTTTATAGTTACAGATAATGCTACAGAATGTATTCTCATGCCTAGATATTTTTGAGTTGTTGGAGGCACAGCTTCAGGGTGAATTTTTAGAATCAGGATCGCTAGATCAAAAGGCTATGCATTTGTAGTTCTGTCAGATATTGCAAAAGTCCCTTCCATAAGTGTTGGGTCGGTTTGCATCCCTACCAAGACTGCATGGGGGATCCTGTTTCCCCACAGCCTTTCCAAGGTGGTGTGGCTTTTCACGTTTTGAGGGAAGTCATATTTCAGTGTGGTTTTAATTAGTGCTGTCTTTTATTGTGAGTGAGGTAGAACGTCTTTCCATAAGTTTAATGGTCATGTTTATATCTTGTTCTGTCGATTGTGTGTTCAGGTCTTTTGCCCATTTTTCTGTTGTGCTTCCGTAATTTTTAACAGTGCTTTATATATGAGGGTTATCAGTCCTGAATCTGTGTCCTATGGTGCAACCATCTTGCCTCAGTTTCACTTGCCATTTGACTTTATTTATTGTTGTTTATTGTTCTATAAGTTTAAAGAAGTGTTTTGTATAGTTTAGATTTATTGATCTTTCCTTTTATTGGACCTGACTCTTCAGTCATTGTTAGGAGACTGGCTGGAGAGGCGTCTGCTGTGTTCTCCTGGCTTCCGTTTCTTTGTTCAGGTGCTTGATTCAGGTGTTTGCTTTTGTGTGTGGTGTGAAACATGACTCTGATTTTCCTCTTTTCCAAATATCATTGTTCCAGCACCGTTACTATAAAAAGTCCATTTTTGCCCCGATGATCTGGAATGCAGCCTCTATCGTGTGTGTACTGCACATACAGATTTATTTGGATCCTTATCTATATACATTATTCTAATGTTTTGATCTGTCTGTCTCCTCATTGAGTCAGTGGTGCACTGTTTTACTTATAGAGGCTTATAGTGTATTCCAATATCTGGTTCATTGAGTTTCCCCTAGGATGTTTCCTTTTATAAAATGTTTTCTTGAATGTTCTTGCATATTTATTTATATGTATGTGTAAGTCCAGTGTTAACTTGCCTAGCTCCATTAAAATGGTTGTTTATATTTTTATTTGCGTCGTGTTACGTTACAAATGCATGACTTACGGTGTTGAGGCATGCTGTCTAAAAACAAGGGTGTCTTTCCAGTTGATTCAGCTTGATTTTTCTTGCCTTTTAGGAGGGTTTTTTAAATGTTTCCTTATGCAAGTTTCACACACTTACTCAGTTTATTACTAAGTATTCTATCTTTGTTGGTTTTATAAAAAAGGTTTTTCTCTAACATTATGTCTTCTGACTGGTTATTGTTTGTGTGAACGGAGACTACTGACTTCTGTATGCTAATTTTATATCCTGCTACATAACCGAATTATTTTATTTTATTATTTGAATTAGTTTCCTAATTGGTTCTCTAGGGTTTTCCAGTTATGCAATCATGTCATCTGCAAATAGAGAGAGTTTTACTTCTCGTTTTCCAGTTACCACCCCTCTGTTGTTTCCCTGCGCTGACAGCCTTGGCTGAAGCCTTGAATAGGACAGTGAGCAGTGGTGGAGGTTGTGGGCGTCCTCGCCTTGTTTCTCATCTTAGTGGGGAAGCTTGTGGTCTTTCTCCATTTGGTTAAGGCAGAGTCACTGACTGAAAAGCGCAGCCTAGCTGACAGGAGGGAGAGCAGGGCTGGGCCTCACTGCTGAAGGGTCTGTGCCCACCTCACGGCCACACTGGTGGTCCCTCAGCGCACGTGCACCTCAGCCAAGCCAGCAGTGCTGACGGCACACACACCTTCTGTCCAATGATTAGAAGACCAGACTAGGTTATTTTTATACTATTTGATTTTGATGATAACAGTATTGTGTACTATTTATTGAAAGCTTGGAAAATGTAAGTTGAAAGTAGAGAAAATAAAATATTTGCAATCTTAACCACCCACCCATTACTAACATTTGGATGCATTTTCATCTAGTCTATTTGCTCTGTGTGTATGTGTGTGCAGGATTTATATCAATTCATGTCTTTACAAGGCATATGTATTTAAAGTCCTCATCTTCCTCAGTCAATTGTAGAAGGACGAAATTGGTCCTACCTATGAAAATGCATATTAGACGTTACATAAATAAAAATGATATGATACTTAATGTCATAAGCCTTTTCCAGATCCTCAAATCACTTTTGGCATATTTTATAGTGGCTGCATAATTTCTAAGAGTAGTAGTACCTTGATTTTGAAAGCACCTCATTTCTGTTTAACGTCATCACCGGAAAGAGAAATAAGAGGCAGTCGAGGGTATTGGGTGGGGGCAGGGGGAGGATGATGGTACAGAAGAATATTGAAATACCGAACAAAAGAATGTCAGAGGTACAGTAAAATCTTCCCTGTGTCCCTGTGCATCTCGGGGATGATAAAGGAAGGGTGGGGAGTATTCAAGTTGAGGCTGAGAAGGCGCAGCACCTGCTCAGACAGGGCTTGCGGTGAGTCTGGAGGGAAGGAGACTAGCCAGTCCTTGGAGAGGGTAGACGTTAAGGAGGGGAACGTTCCCAGGGACCCCGAGGGCCACCGTCTCAGAGCTCCTGGAAGAGCTAGGCTGGGCGAGGGGAGCTGATCAGGAGCCCGCTGGGGGCAAGGCTGTTCAGAGAGCTGGTGGTGACCCCTTTCTCCCCAGTTGCTCTAGAAGGGAGAAGTCAGGTTTACCTTTAATATTTTAACTTTGAATTCTTTTTAACTTGACAGAACCCTTTCATTTCTCAATTAATGATAAAAGGCTCAAAACCAATCCATAATTAAGGCCGCCCTGTGGTGCTAATTGTTTCGTATTGAAGTGCGATCCATTCACTTACGAAAACAGCTTGTTATTAGGTCCTTTTTTTTTTTTTTTTTTAAATGGGAAGTGGGTAAGAGCTGAAGGCTCAGGACAGAAGGCAAATTTTAGGCTCTGTTATTGATTTTCTTTTCTTATTCTCAGACATTAATATTTATATCAAATGTGACTCAGCAGCCTCTGTGAGTAATTAAACAGGTTATTTTGTTAATTATCGGTGTAGTTTGATTTTTTTGGAGTGATTAATGAATGTGAATAATAAAGGATGAACTGTTTTCTGTCTGTTTCATGTGTCTTATTTTATTCTTTTAGCTCGTATCTTCATTGTCAGTGGGCATCTGTAGAAGATCTGGAAAAAGATAAGAGAATTCAGCAAAAGATTAAACGATTTAAGGCAAAGCAGGGCCAGAACAAATTCCTTTCAGAGGTATGGAAACCCTGGTTAATTTTCTGAAGTACTTACAGTATTAAAATGTTCTGAATTTTGAATTGTAGGTCAGTAAATTATTAAGAAAAACTAGTTTGCCTCATTTGGTGCTGTTACTTGCATATTGGTAACTGGTTATTGCTAAAATAATTTGTAAACAGGAAATTTCTCATTCTTCCTGTTGCTTAGTCTAGGAGATACTGGGCCTTATGATGGTATGTGGAAATATGATGGTGTGATTCAATCTTGTAGCGAAAGTACAGTTCATAGACAGTGAAAAAAGTAAGTAGACAAAAGTTCTATTAAGATTTAGCGGGTTAAAAACTGTACAGTAAGGATTAAGGAAAAGTTCTAGGATATGAAAGTTTCTTTTTGGAAGGGAAGATGTGTGACAAATTCCTTTTGTTCAAGTCAGTGTCTTAATTACAGAGAGTTCACTAAACTTGCTTTCACAAATGGTGTGCTGTGGTATAGAAGCTGGAGTAACATCTAGTATCTTTGCCTCCCCCCCTTTCTCCAAGGTTATTTTGCGTATGGTGGGCTTTATATAGGTGCCCATTCCCCTCTAGCGGAGTCAGCTGCATTAACGTAATGCTCTCACAAACCTGCTTCCTGGGGTCTAGGTGCTTGTGATCGTCAATTCAATTTTACTTATAGCCTCAAGGAGGTAAAAGAGAAACCTTCATGCTGAAAGATTAAACTGGCTGACTTACTAGTTTTCCTCTCCATAAAGGAGTTAACAGAATGTAAATTGTAAAGAAGTGTAAAATTTGATGCAAAATAATACCTGTTTCACAATCTGCTTCACACACCCCCCCCAACCTGTTTTTGGAGATGGGTTGAGGGATGGACTTGTATGTCATAAAATCAGTCCTTATCATCTCAGGTGACAAGTCTGTGTTCTCCCTGAATCCGATTTCCATGCCCCTCCAAAGGCATGTTGTGAAATTTGCACTAGATGGGAGGTCAGGTTGGTGGCTGTTGCACTAGACTTGCGTGTCCACTGCGTCCGCTGCGTTCTGATGGGCACTGGAGCGTCTTTGCAGCACAGGAGTCAGCACTGAGGGGAATGGAATTACTTGGATGCGACTCACTCCTCGTGTCTAGGGGAGTATTTAGGTGATTTTTTTCTCTGAAAGGGCAGTTTCTAAGATCATACTGGGAAGTTCTATTTTTCATGCCCTTCTTAATGAAACTAAAGTGAAATGTCTGTGACATTGGGCAAGTTGAAATCATTAGCTTCCTTTTGGAAAGAGACACCATCTGTTCTGCTCATGTTTCTGTGCATCTGTGGTAGGAAAATGAAAGAGTACAGTGCCCCCCGCCCATCTTTATATCCTGGTTCTTCTGTTCATTCGATTTATTTGACTGTGTTTCCAAGAGCCAGATGTACTTTAGGGACTTGTGCCTGGCCCTGCCATGTAGCCTGTCTATTTGAGTCTCTCTCTGTGACTCACCTCTACCAAGGCTGAAATACATTATCCTACTGGTAGCTTGGCAACTAGAAGTCTTAGATTTTGTCCTGAATGGAAGTAGCATGAACTTGGGTCTGAAAAGATGATTCGAGGGTTAGCAGAGAAGGATACCAGTTTCCTTCCCCTCTTTCTCCTTTTCACGTGCGTACACATGCACACACTCATGCACAGGCCCACACATCCCACCTGTTTGTTGTGTCCCATAGGTGCTCCTGGCTTCAGGTATTCCATGGTCCTGCTCCTTTGGGATTGTTAGTTCTGGCTGCTTTCGCATCCCCTTTTTCACCTCAGGCTTCCCTTTAAGTCGTGGCAACTAAAGTCTCTATTCAAAAAAATTATCGAAATTGGAAATGGCGTCACATGCATGGTGGCATAGATTACTTGCTTGAAGGACAGAAGTGTTTAGGAGTAACGTTAAGGATTTTAATTCAGCAGTGAAAGGTTCTGTTTAAGAACAGGTTGTCTTAAAGAGACCTCTTCTGATCAAAACCTAGTTTATGAAAAGTTTTAGTTTTTATGCTGTATATGAATAATGCATAGGTATTGTATACCTGAATCTGGAAGCTTTGACAAGCCCAGTGCATTTAATATGTTAACATTTTAAATTAACTAAACAGTTCAATGATTTTTTTGCCTTACTGAGGAATTCTGTGTAAAGGCCTGAGGCGGTTGAAACACACTTTGGTATTTCTGAGTTTGTTTTATGATTCACGGTTCAAAGCACCGCACCTGGGTGTTGTAAGTGGGCACGGGAGCCCCGCGTTTGCCTGCTACCCCCGAGCCGACTGAGGGGAGCAGCTCTTGAACTGGTAACTGCGGGAATGTGGACAGTGTCTGAGGGACGGCTAGTATGTCTTTGCAAAGCGTTTTAATGCCGTTGTATTACTGATGGATTAATCTCTAGGAACATATACTAACATCTTTTCTTTTCTAACTCACCTGACTCTGACTTCTTCAAGGTACGGCTTAGTCTTTAGCTTCCCTCTGAGCCGAATTCTGTTCTTTTA